ATGCCCAGATAATCACCTCTATTGTCATGGTGAAGGCTAGAGAGAATATGGTGCACCCTGCCATGATACCCACTTCCAATGATTGCCATGATGTTGTGTATTCTGCGGTTGTTATGCAGAATTGCAAATCTTTTAAGATGGTTTCAGGCACATGAAAGAAGTTTAAGGCTGCCAAGATGTCAGAATGGGGGATGGATTCAAAATCATTGGCCAGATTGTATTTGATGCCAAATCCAGCTTGTGTGTTCATGGCATCCTTTGAAACCTGGTATCCCGACTTTCTGTATCAACATGTCAATCAAGTTGTTTTTTGAGCGACGATGCTAAAGAAGATCGTGCCTTCAAAGTTCAGGAGATTGATTTGTCAAAATTGGTCAATGTTTGAGGCTTCTCCTTGGGATTTACAACTCCCCCTGCTCTTCAACATGCTTTTGGGATGTTTTGTTTCTTTCATGTCACCTTCATTAGCCTCCACAGAAACCGCAAGATACCTGTGTGGTTCTTATACAACTGGTAAGGAACTCCATTTGGTCCTGGTGCAGAAGCTGCCCTTGCCTTCCTCACTATGTTGTTGTAATGGCATGTTATGGCAACGGTGAGGCACTGGAGAGTTTGAAGGGTGTGTGAGGACTTTCATACTGAGAGTTGTGTCCTTGAATATGAAGTATAGAGGAACAATACAGTTGTCGATCTCAGTCCATTTTGGGAGGCTGTCGTCGGACCGGTGTTCTGGTTAGGGAATTGGCGACATGTCTGATGGTATCTCCCTTTGTTCGGGTCTTTGCTCGTCTGAGTGTGTCGCCTTCAGATAATGCTCCAGCTCCCTCTTTGGCACCTTAAGAGATCCGCTATTTTCCCTTGTAAAAAGCCCTTTTACAAATTAGAAGGGATATTGTTTGAAGGGATAATGTAGAAGGATGATCTTGTTTTCTCCTTTTTCCTGTGTTAAGTTTTCTGCTCTCTGCAGTCTTCCAGTGATGATTTCTTCCACAGTTTCCTCAAATCCCTCCTCTCTTTGATAAGGTGCTCGATTTCCTGTTGCCTTCTGGACTTGGGAGGGGTTGGTGTTTCCTTCCTTTGCTCTTTTGTTACGAATATTGCTGCCCTATAGAAGTAGATCGGATCACTCATTTTCTCCAGTTTCTTCTCCCCCGTTCCTCGAATTTCTTCCAGGATCAAGCCCAGGTCTACATCGACCGTAGCCCACTCAGTAGACTTAACACATTGTGAAGTAATACATGATTTTTATTTGCAAGTTTTTGTAACTGTTTTTGTAAAGTTTGTGTAATCAACAATGAAAATCAATCATTTAAAATAAAAATAAATAAAACAAGATACAAATTTTAAATACTCATTATATCAAAAAATTGCTTTCTGGTTGAATAAGATATATTGTGTCTAGATGTTTTTTTCCCCCTAAGTGATAAGCCTAAGAGTAATTTCTTCCAATGCATCAGCGGTTGTGATCACTGAAGCAGAGGAACTGATGCTTGATTGCAGGGTCTCCAGCTGAATTAACCCATATCAAGTTTCTGAAAGCACAATATCTTCTCCTCTGCCACCTGATGCTGCATGACTGACCTATTTTCTCCTCTCATTGAGTAATGGAAAGTTGTTATATGGTTCAACTTATTCCATGAGCAACAGTGATGAGATTATAATCAATCAATTATTGAGTGTGGCTAATTAGTATCACATTGTACTCGTGACAGACAGCGGACAGTTTGTTACTTGTCCAAAGCTACAAAGGTGAGGCATATTTAAAAAAATAATCATTTTAGCAGTAGAGGGCACACTTTCAAGTTACTTCATGTTGTTTTTTTCAATGTTAAAAATATTTTCTTCCATCTCAATTTAAAGTGATATGTCCCCCCAAAAATGAAAATTCCATCATCATTTACACAACCTTGTCAGGTCATTTGAAAACTGTATGACTTTTTTTTTACCCCTCAAAATACACTCACCGGCCACTTTATTAGGTACACCTGTCCAACTGCTCGTTAACACTTAATTTCTAAGCAGCCAATCACATGGCGGCAACTCAGTGCATTTAGGCATGTAGACATGGTCAAGACAATCTCCAGCAGTTCAAACCGAGCATCAGTATGGGGAAGAAAGGTGATTTGAGTGACTTTGAACGTGGCATGATTGTTGGTGCCAGAAGGGCTGGTCTGAGTATTTCAGAAACTGCTAATCTACTGGGATTTTCACGCACAACCATCTCTAGGGTTTACAGAGAATGGTCCGAAAAAGAAAAAACATCCAGTGAGCGGCAGTTCTGTGGGCGGAAATGCCTTGTTGATGTCAGAGGTCAGAGGAGAATGGCCAGACTGGTTCGAGCTGATAGAAGGGCAACAGTGACTCAAATAACCACCCGTTACAACCAAGGTGGGCAGAAGAGCATCTCTGAACGCACAGTACGTCGAACTTTGAGGCAGATGGGCTACAGCAGCAGAAGACCACACCGGGTGCCACTCCTTTCAGCTAAGAACAGGAAACTGAGGCTACAATTTGCACAAGCTCATCGAAATTGGACAATAGAAGATTGGAAAAACGTTGCCTGGTCTGATGAGTCTCGATTTCTGCTGCGACATTCGGATGGTAGGGTCAGAATTTGGCGTCTACAACATGAAAGCATGGATCCATCCTGCCTTGTATCAACGGTTCAGGCTGGTGGTGGTGGTGTCATGGTGTGGGGAATATTTTCTTGGCACTCTTTGGGCCCCTTGGTACCATTTGAGCATCGTTGCAACGCCACAGCCTACCTGAGTATTGTTGCTGACCATGTCCATCCCTTTATGACCACAATGTACCCAACTTCTGATGGCTACTTTCAGCAGGATAATGCGCCATGTCATAAAGCTGGAATCATCTCAGACTGGTTTCTTGAAGATGACAATGAGTTCGCTGTACTCAAATGGCCCCCACAGTCACCAGATCTCAATCCAATAGAGCATCTTTGGGATGTGGTGGAACGGGAGATTCGCATCATGGATGTGCAGCCGACAAATCTGCGGCAACTGTGTGATGCCATCATGTCAATATGGACCAAACTCCCTGAGGAATGCTTCCAGCACCTTGTTGAATCTATGCCACGAAGAATTGAGGCAGTTCTGAAGGCAAAAGGGGGTCCAACCCGTTACTAGCATGGGGTACCTAATAAAGTGGCCGGTGAGTGTATCTTCTTTTTTGTTCAGAAGAAAGTCATGATTGTTTGGAATGACATGAGGGTGAATAAATAATTACCTTCCCAAAGAGTGTACAAAAGTTTTGGCCCTTGGAAAATTAATTTATTAAACATTTATATTTACTTAATAGTGATGGCTAATATTAGTGTAGTATTCTCAGCTCCAGTTTACTGTTTTTAGTTTACACTATTTAAATCCACTCTGCAGAATTCTGCAGATTTCCCCCTAAAACCCAGGTAGAAAAAGTGTAAAATGTCTGTAGATTTCATCTTTGTCTGTTAAGTTAATTTCTGGAAGGTCCATTAAGTCAAGAACACACATGACAATAAATGATTAGGAAATGGTATTTAATAAAATTCAATTCAAGTTGATAATAAACAGCAGCAGGATTAGGGAACACTCACAGTTTAGAACTGGGAGAGCACAACTATTGCCCCATATGAATGAACAGAGCAGCAACGATGACAGAAAATGTAAATGGCAAATGGCACTTTATAGACGACAAGGAGAAGTTGGGGAGGAGGTGGGTTGCAGAGAGCGAGCAGGGAACAGTTAAATTAGGAGCGAAGTGAATCTGCTTAAATAGGGTGCCCTGATTTGGGCGTAGTTATTACCAATGAGGGGAGATGAACAACAGATGCGGTGATCACATCAGATCACATCGATCGCTGACCGTGTTGTCGGCCGATAGCATTAGCAGCATCTTGATTACTTGGTCTGGCAGAACGGACACTGACGCTCAATAAACATAGACTTTGGAACAATTTTACAGTAATGCAGCATTGCACAAAATGTGCAAATTGAAGTAATAGAGTTAAGCCACAGTTAAACTAGACTTTGAACTTGCAAAATTTTCAACATAAATCAACATAAATTAATTCAAATTATACATCCAAAATGTAAATATGCACTCTATTCCACTTTACGGCAAAGCTGCAATACTCAAGATTTAAAGAGGTCATGCATACCAATATTCTATTGGTCTTACAGCAGGTAGTCAACCAAAAATCCTTTTACCGCCACCACAAAAATGCAGCATTAAAAATGACTTCATATCTGTTAAATACATCTGTACGTCTTCTTCATACACAATCGCAGTGCAGAGTTCACCAAAACTTGAACTTTGGAATGCAGCTAAATTCACAAGAGCTTGTGTTTCCTGTCTAGCATGCATAATCTGCAAATCAAAGTCGATGCTGGAATAAAAAGTGTAGTGTTACTGGCCATATTGCTGTATTGTTTGTTTGTTTTAAGTTACATTTATTTAAGGGCTTTATACAATACAGATCTTGTAAAAAAAAAAAGTACTATAAGTACTATAAGTAATAAAATACGGGAAAATAACAGTGTTAATGTTTCAAAATTCATTAAACATGAAACAAATTCAATTTCAGCCGTAAAGCAGCTCTACAGAAGACAATAGTGTCAATATTTAGCTCAGTTCAGTGTGTCATTGAAAAATAATTTGTCAACAAAGTCATCTTGCACTCCATGTAAATAGTAGTGGTTGACCGATAGTCATATTTTCTTCAAATAAAGAGAAGGTAGCGTTAATTTTATTTACACTGAAGAATTACATGTGTTGGTGTTCTCAGCGCTTTCAGAATAAAAGTCCTGCAGTCACCCATTAGACAAACAAGAAAATCAGTTGTTTTGAAAATTAAAAAAATGCCAAATATCGACCTATACTGTATACTGGCCATGGCGATATATTGATCAACTACTAATATGGTGTTGGCCATTAATGCCCATGGCCCATGAGACAATGACCGTAATGCTCATAGACATTTTTAACAGACGCTTTTGGCTTACCTCCACTGCTGCCTTAGCTCTCTCAAACTCTTCCTCCAAAGATTGGTTTCTGGACAGCAGTGTGCTACCCCACCTTTGGTCTTTGCTCAAACGGCCCTGTCAAACACAGGAGTCAGAGAAAATGTGGTCAGCCATCTCTCAATCACTCTGACAGGAGAAAAGGCCCTGCCCTTGCCAAACCCCCGATGCCAGAGGCAAGGAGAAATGCCAGCATTAGCAGTACAGGGTCTTCTTGTTTTCTTTCTTTCTCTTTCTCACTCTCTTCTGAGATCCTGCTTTCCACTGATGTTCTAACCCAATGGACTGGCTTGTGGCTTGTCATGCATAGCACGTTGCCCTGAACATTTTTCTTAGTTATGCAAATCTGAAAATAGCATGGCAGGAGACCTTTGCTCAGCATGTATTGTCAAATATACACCATTTTTAGCACTGTACACCTGAAGACATGCTTCACATGCGGCAAAGCCATTCATTTTGACTACACTGCTGTGTGTGTGCATATCACACAGCAATGGAAATCAAGCTTGTTTTACTTAAGTTTTATTTTCTCAGAGTCATTAGAGGTTTCAAATTTAGAGGGTGACATATTGGCATTATAAACCATAAGAACTGGCTGTTTACATTTGCTGATGGCAGGACGTTTAAACAAACACTATAAAACAGTACTATACTATATTTTGCTATCTAGGTTATTGCTAGAGCTGTCAATTGATTCAAACTAATAACAGGACATTCCATAGAAATAACTGGATTTAATATATCTTCCATCTTCTGGCTGTCTTTAAATCGCTCTGATGTTAGTAAAATTCCTTTGTAAAATCAGTTCAGGTGGCGTGATTAATTGTTCTACTTCTTCATTCAGTTTTAATTCACTAAATTAACAAGTTAAACTGACAGACCTTTGTTGAATTTTCATGGATAATAATGTTTTTGGTGCTCCTTAAAGTTTAAAGTTGCTTGTCATTTTATTGAACAATGTAATCTTAAAGTCACCCTTTAAAATTGTACCTTGTTCGTAGGTCACTCTAAAAGTCAAGTGCTGAGCTATCAAATGCAAACTTTCATTCCCCCAATCCAATTCTCTGCATAACAAAGCCCCAGGCAGACTGAATCAAAGGAATAGGATGAAGTATTTGCCACCTGCCTCATTCGATATTAATCAATTATCAAGGTTACTAAGTTAAATGGATTTCATACAGGAGGCTATAATGGAGGCCCCAAAAAGGACAATTGGTCTTGCTTCATTGTGCTGGTGCAGCTCTGTATAATTACATTTAATGTGCCCATGTCAGACCCTGTGTCAGTGGAACAATTACCTTTAGCATTACACATTCCATTTCCAGTGCACCCCATGGTCAAGAGACAATTCGAGCTCAATGTTTTTAGAACCATGCAGCTCACAAGTGTAAAGATTGCTTCATCATGACTAGTCTTAAGAAATGTATTTGTACTAATGCAAGATTTAAGTTTATGAGGGTCAGTGACGTATAGGATGTCACATAATATTTTTTTAAACACATATTTTAAAATTTAATTAGAATTTTTACTGTTTTTCACTTAAAAAAAATAATAATAAATACTTTATTGTTCAAAAGTTTGGGGTCAGTATTTTTTTAAGAAAGAAATTAAGACTGTTATTTAGTTCTTTTGAACGTTCTATTCATGAAAGAATACTGAAAAAAACGAACACTGTTTCCACAAAAATATTAAGCTGCACAACTGTTATCAAAATTGATAATAATAAGAAATGTTGCTTAAGCTCCAACATAGCACATTGTCACTCACAGTCAGTTTTGGTTGCTCTTTCGTTTCTGTTTTCATGGACTTTTAGTTTTGTTTTCATCAGTCACGTGTGTTTTTTTGTCTTAGTTTCCCGCCAGTCATCAGTTGTCATGGACACTAATCGGATCATCACACCTGTTAGTCATCTCCTCATTATCACAGTGTATTGAAGTTCCTCAATTTCACTCTGTGTTTGTCAGTTGTTGTTCGTGTAGACAAGCTGTTACTTTGTCGTAGTGGCAGGGTTCTCAAGTCTCATGTATTGGCCGTGAGAGACACGCAATTCACCAGTTCACACGCCACACGCCACACCGTGTATTTCTCGCTGAAAAGGCAATGCCAACCAAGTTGTCCTGCAAGCTTATATATAAGCTTATATATAATTTTGTATACGAGGCGCAGGCACACAAAGTGAAGTTTCCTGCTGCCAGCATGTATCTCTCGGACAGATTGCGTTCGTTAGGCAACATAGATGCACAAACTCGCGGAAGTTGACGGGAACATTCTTGGCCACCGTACTTTCGTTATGATAGCCAACAACATCGCGCGAACACACGCCGTGATGGAGAAGGGAAGAAAGTTTGTCTAACATTTTTAGGCTAAAACATTTAATATACAACCCATTGTATACATTTTATTGATGCAGTCAAAAACTCTACAACTACTTTGCAACCAGGCCAGAAGCTTTGGTTCAGTTTGACTAGCTTACATTACCTGAAACTAAGGGAAATGGGTAACACTTTACAATAAGGTTCATTAGTTAACATTAGTTAACTACATTACAATATGTGAACAATACTTCTTCAGCATTTATTAATCTTAGTTATTATTAATTCCAACATTTACTAATACGTTATTAAAATCAAAGGTTGTATTAGTTAACATTAGTTAATGGACTTTGAACTAACATGAACGCACAATGAACAGCTGTATTTCTATTAACTAACATTAACAAAGATTAATAAACACTGTAACTAATGCATTGCTCATCGTTAGTTCATGTTAGTTAATGCATTTACTAATGTTAACTAATGAACCTTATTGTAAAGTGTTACCGGGAAATGTTATGGTATGGGACGGAATTGAAGATGTGTTTCTTCATTTTATTTTATATATTATACTGTATTTAATTCATTATATATATATAATTTAACGCTCTGGGTAATATTTTATATCCTGTCAAAACATACATTAATAATTGCCATTGCATTTGTATTTTTTTAAAGAGGTCAGGGAAAAAGCAAAAATATATGTGTACACACACACACACACACACACACACACACACACACAAATACCTTAATATCTAATATGTCAATTTGTTCACAATGTCCTAGAGACCACACAATAAATCATTATACCATTTTGACTAGACACATTCAAAATGCAAAAAGGTTTGTTTTTCCAAACTGTTTGGAGCAATCTGTTAGATTTGAATTTTGTAATTTGTGTATATTTGTAATTTTGAAATATAACATTAAAGAGTAGGCTATGTATGATGTGATGAATTGTTCTGTCATTTCTCAGATTTACCAATTGTTATAATTTCAATTTGTGCTGGTTAATTATGAACAATGGTTAAAATTGGGGGGCGGGGATGGGTAGGGGCGGGGCTCCATTGGGGCTCCTCTCCTAACCACTTGTGATCTCACTCCAAGCTTTTGATAAAACTTGAGATCCCTGTAGTGGATTAGAGTTTGTTTTCTCATTACCCAACCCGGTAACACTTTACTTCAAGGGATATGCATAAGACTGACATCACACCTTCATAATCATGACATGACACATGACATGTATATGAACTAAGGTTTATGCATGTTTATAAATAACTTGACGTAAACTAATACATCATAACCTCCCAACCTGACATTATCAAGACAACATAAATTGTCATAAATAAGTAAAAAAACATGACAACGGATTAATTATCAAACTTAAGAAACCACTTAGCTTTATGGGTTAACATTACATTAAACTGGCATGTGGTTGGTTTTAACATTGGCTGTCATGAAGCCATTATAACTGTGTCATGAATATTTTTCTTGACCTCAACTACACTGGTACAAACTGAATTTGTCATTACAATGTTATAATGGCTATGAGGCCTGTTCAGGGTGCTTCCCTGTTGTCTGTGTTGTCCCGTCATTTTCTGCAGCTTGTGACCTGGGCAATCAGCACTGATTCTTCAACGCTGGTGTGTGCGCGGATCACAAGCTGATTGCCCTCACCTTCCTCCCTTATATTCTCAGCTGTGTCTGCCCCTTGTCAAGGTGTCATGATAAAGATGACTCAAACAAATGTCATATTTGCATTAAAAATGTCATAATTAAGTGAAAGACACTTAATGACCGTTGTCATAAACGTCATAAAAAATGTCATAAAACCTCCTGCGTATTCATGACATGTGTCTTGTGCACACGTTTTCAAGTAAAGTGTTACCAAGAACCCTTTTAATGGGCTCTATGCACGGCAGTATTTCCGGTGAAGGTGAAAGGATGCTCTATAACTTCCGCCGATCGTGAATTTTATACTCCATGGTTATACTAAAGGAACGTTAGTCACAAAAACAGATAAAACAGACACCCCTCGTTGTGTTTATGCTTCTTTTTAAAATTATATTAAATAAACATAACTATAAATAAAATTACATCTAAACGCGTGTACGTTTCGTTTCAATGACGGGAGGACAGTAAATTTCTGGCAGTAAAGACTCTGCCATAATCCCGTTTTCCTCGGTTTTCCTCCGCTTTAATCTCCACAACCGGAAATGGACGAGCATCCTTGCGTCAAATGCGGAACTTATGCATGCATATAGCCCATTCTCCTCCATCTGGTAACAGATATTATATTTCTGAAGGATCATGTGACACTAAAGACTGAAGTAATGGATTCTGAAAAATTCAGCTTTGATATAGCAGGAATAAATTACATTTAAAACATATCAAAATAGAAAATGGTTATTTTAAATGTAATACAATTTCATAATTTTTTTAAATAATATTTAACTTTATCAAATAAATGCAGCCTGGGTGAGTGACAAAAACTATATATATAAAAAAAAAAAAATGTTATAGACCCCAAACTTTAGAAAGGTAGTGTCTAGAAGTTTTTGTGGGATTTGCACCACATGACATTTTAACCTGACTACAAACCAGAGGAACAAATCAAAGGTACTGGAGGGGGAGCCCACTGGACAATATCCATTTGGTGTAATTTATTTTTTTATACCTTTTCCCATAGCACCCTGGGACAATATTGTATAACCTCCGATGTTGATATTGACCAGTGGCTGGTCAATAATTAATTTGCTTATCATCTAATCATGATAGATAGCAATAAAAACGGACCTGCATGCTTCATTAAGGGTAAAAGCGTGTAACATTTGTACCCTGTAACACCACAACACATGGTCACCACTTCAGTTCATTATTTGCAATAAATGTTTGGTCTTTCTTGTATTGATTTGGTGGTGATGCTGTTGCCATGGTACAAATGTATAGATCATTCAGCGATTCATTCGAAGAATGCACAGAGAGGCTTACGTGTCTTCCACTAATATATTGCCTGTTAAGCTGAAAATAAAGAATTCTAGACATTAGCACAGAATGTTACACAATGTATTGAATGGCTAAAAAAACATCAAAAAAAGACATTCACAGTTCTAGTGGATGTACCTGACAACACTACAAAAGAATTGGAAACATGGGAAATAACATGTGAAAGACACATGTACAGATGATCATGACATAAGGGTTGCTCGTTGTTGCACTTACTTGAGTTACTGGCACGGCTTCTGCCTCTACTTTATTATTTACCTCCAGGGAGTTCCTGGGGGCAATGTCTAGCTGAGTCTTGCAATCCATTGACCTGAGGTTGAGTCATAAGAAATGAATGTAAAAAAACAGGGATATTAAAAGACCAAATTAAATATACACAGACATTATTGATCATGCATACTATATACAGGCAAGCAGATGAACCCAGAATACAAACAAAATGTTTTTTCGTTACAATGTAGAGTACTGTGTTTATATTCTGGGCTCATCTGCTTCCCTGTTTATAGTATGCATCATCAATAAGATGTACTGAATTTGATTTAATATCACTTTTTAAGTGTGAAGGGATACTCCACCCAAAATTACTTACCCTCAAGTTGTTGCCAACCCGAATGAGTTTCTTTCTTTAGCTGAACAGAAAGGAAGATATTTTGAAGAATGATTGGAACCAAACATTTGTTTGGGAACATTGACTTCCATATTAGAAAAAAAAATACAATGAAGGTCAATGATGCCAAAGTTCCAATCGTTCTTCAAAATATCTTCATGTATCATTAGCTAATGATTAATTAAAGCACAGTGCATAGTGTTGACTAATTGTGGCAATTAACGCATTAATTTACACTATTAGTTAATAAAATGTTATTAAATAATCATTAATTAATGGTTTAGTTCTTCATGAGTCATACATTAACTCTCACTAACATTAATATTCACTAACATTGTGCATTAGTGAATTAAGTGCACCCGTATTGTAAAGAGTTACCGTTTATCTTAGTTTTTCCTAAATTACAGCATGACTCAGCATCTTTTGAGATTGATCCAAAGAGCATCCTTGTGCTGTACAAAGAGTCACATGATCAATGTTACAAATTTCCTAATTTGATTAGTGGCCTGGAAATAGTTCAGAATCCCTCATAATGGAGTATCCCTTTAAGGAGGTTTAATTGTTTTTCATGTTAAGTGTTTTAGAATGTCCTGCTGTTTTTAGCGACTGAAATACTGCAGCAGGTTCTGTATAAGGATCACAACTTGGTGCCCAAAACCTGCATTTTGTTCATATATTTTTGTTTTTCTTCTTTTGAGATGTGATCTAAATATAAGTGGGCTTGAAACAAGAGGAAAATTGTTGGAACAAAATTGGAACATTCTATGGATGTTTCACCCTCAGATCTCAGTGATAGTCGTGTGACTGACAACTATTAATTAATATCTTTTAGACAAAGAAATTGAGCATTTTCATATGTAATTTTTATTAGAGCAGCGACTCACCACACAAATTCGCCAGAAATTTTGGATGAACGTCTCCTCTCAAGTTTCCACTTTCTGCTACCATTTCGTTCTGGGTGTGGGTTGAGTTCTTCCCATTTATCCAGTGAAGATGGAACTGCTACTGTGAACAAAATGAGGCCATGCCATTTGACAAAGATATATTATCATAATACAACCCAAGTAAAACACAAACAACACTAAAGTTTGAGGCGGTGGCAGCATGCAAGCACATAAGGAAGAGGGCAAATAGGTAGCTAAGTAAATACCTACAAGTAAATTTAAGCACGTAATGCTTTTATCAATGAAAAAGTACGGTTTTCATTGAGAACAGCATTGCGGTTACAGAAACTGTTCAGTTAATCGTATGAAAAACCCATTTTTATTTGTGTAACCATCTGATTTCCCTGATTTGCAAGAGTGCATTACAGCCCTTTACTTTAGCTCTGTGGCACATAATACCTGAGTCCAATGAACTTTTTTCAGGCGTGCGGGAACAGGGTATACTATGTTCAACATCCACTTGAATCAGCTCTGTTTCATCTGGCTTCCTCCTGTACGGTGTACCCTTAGAAGAAAGAGGGCTCTTCCTGTCTTTGCTGTGTCTTCTCTCACCAGGCTCACTCAGATCCAGCAAGTCCAGAGAGGAGGACAGTACTGGACAAATAAAGCAAAAAAATATATATCATCCTAGCCTGGGAAAACTCAGACAACTTCCGGAAAATTTAGATTTGCACTGAAAGTTAGTCTGGCAAAGAGCTCATTCAAGGCCATTTCCAATCCGCCGAAATCGTGGCACCAATCAGAAATGTTGGGGCGGGCTTTACACGATGACGACAGCACAGCGACGGTGAAGCAGATTTTGAACATTTACAAAGGGGTGTGACGGTTATTAGAACTCTATAACCGCCAAAACCATGTTATTAAAATATTTTTTGACAGACATTTTTTATCATAGAGAATGTTTAAATACTAATTTCAGCTTACGAGGGAAATGGAGGCCGAGTTAGTGGTGCTTCAAAGACTGCTACTGCTAGAGATGATTCGGGAGAAGTCTGTGCACCTTTACCCACCAGAGTAAAGCCTTGTTTATACTCGACGTGTCCACACGAGCGCGAAGGTGCGCGGCAAAAATGATGCATTCGGTGCGCAAGACCGACTCCATTTCCCTTAGCTGTGTGCATGGCTTTTTTTGTAGCGGCGCCGCGTCCGAGGATGAACGACTTCAAGCCGAATCTGCCCGAGCATGTATGTCTCATCCATAGTAAGGTCTCACCATACAGGTGTGTCTAAATTGCAAAGTTTTTTTTTTTTTTTTTGGAAAGGTTTTGTTTACTGTGTGTGATAATGGAAAGCACATTCACTTATAGTTGTCTTGCTGTAGCTAATCTCAGAACGTCGCTCTGCATACGTCATCTCCTTCAGCGCTCTGATTGGTTTTAGGTCTATCCAATTGCGCCTTTGAGGCATTTGAGCTACGTCCGTTGGTGACGGCCCTCTGGAAATGATTTGTCTATGAAGCTTTGCCAGACAACTCAGTTACAAACTGAGTTGGTCTGGTTTCAACCAGGCTAATATCATCCAATTGTATTTGTCTTCCTGTTTCAGAAAGTTCAGTGGTTCTGAAAGTGCTGGACACATCCCATGGCAAATTCCAAGTTCCAAGCATGAGCTAGATTAGTACATAAGCTAGGACAAAAGTGAAATGCACAAAAAGAAAAGAGGGAACGTTTTTGAAAGTTGTGATGGCCTCAGCAAATTGAATGAATGTTTAAGAGGAACTAAGAGGGTGAATGTTCTGGAAAGGAACTACCAGTCGCAGTTTCCTCTAAGACTGTAAATAACAGTAGGGAATATTCGCTTTTAAGAGTGTATTAATGAGATTGAAGCATGCATCAACATCCTCCCATCTTTCAATCCATCCCCTTTTGTGTTAAATAAATGAAAAAAGGCTAACATTTAAGGATGTCTCATTTGTGCATTACAAATAAATTGTGAACTAGCAAGTTTTTGCTCAGCATCAAATTAGCACACCAACCAAAAGTCCATAATTTAAAGGAAAGAAAAAACATAGAATAACACAATCTATAGTTATTGTTTTAGGCACTAATACCTACATGGTCACAGCAACAACAACAAAAAAAACATCAGGCGGTTCCAACAGCTCGGGTCTGTGCAAAATAATCTTTGATGTTGCATGTATGTTCTTCTCCAAGAGACCAAAGAGCGTTTGATATAGTGTGTGTGTGTATATATATATATATATATATTTACACACACACACACACACACACAGAACACTGTGTTCTGCTGCACAGGATGATGGTTTGAGAATAATGTGTTCATTCAATATTCAGAGGGAATGTTGTCAGCTTTTATGATTAGGTGAGATTAAAGCATACAACTTTTAGATGGTTGAACCCCCCCATTGTACGTGAACATTAAAGGCATACCCAAAAATGAAAATTCTCTCATAATTTACTCACCCTCAAGTTGTTGTAAACCTGTATGAAATTCTTTTTTCTGTTGAACACAAAGGAAGATATTTTGAAGAACGACTGGAACAAACAGTTGTTTGACACCATTGACTTACATAAATATACGAGTAACTGATGATAGAATTTTCATTTTTGGGTGGAGTTTCCCTTTAAGAACAGATGCTACAGACATATTCTTCAGCTTCTACTGCCATCCTGTAACCCATCAGGCTTGCAGAACAGAGGTCTTCATAACCAGGTAGTAGACAAAATACCCATGCAGGTCAGTACTGCATATAGATGCCAGCTGCATGGAGGATGCATGATCCAAGCCTTGAGGGCTTGACAGCACACCTTCTGATATATAGCACAAACAAAAGAGCTGAAACCAGGTTAACACCACATGCTTTTGTTTCTGCCAACTGCACCACAAAAGAACCAGTCTGCACACTGTAAGACCTACTAAATAGATCCAATGGCGGAATTCGATTTGAGGTGAAGGTTTCATGCGTATTCCGTCTTTCCCGTGGCAAAGTGATTTTTAATTAAATGCAATACATTTTTATCTTATGTATTAACTTGTTTAATCTGACTCCATAAAATGAAAAAGGGTTTAACAATGATATATGTGCATCATTAAATACACATTAAAGGGGGGGTTGATTGCGATTTCATTGTTTTCATTTCAAATAGTGTGTAATGTTGCTGTTGGTGCATGAACAGTATCTGCAAAGTTGCAGCGCTGAAAGTTTAGTGTAAGCAGAGATATCGTCTTTTAAAAATCTGCAGGAAAGTGCATATGCATATTTCTGCGGCTTTCCCAGTTGTCAGGTCTTCTGTGTTCGAGCTTCCCACGGACGCTGTACTTCGTCAACAATGGATACAATTTATGTTTGATTTTATTTATGTTCCTGAAAATGACGATCGTAATTTAGCTCTCTGTACTGCGCATTTTTCTGAAGGCAGCTTCCAGAATCTCCACAAATTCAATGCCGGATTCAACAATAAACTGTTACTAAAACATGAAGCAGTTCCAACTTTAAAACCAGAGGTAGCAGTTGTTGGGCCACAACCTGTAAGTAGGCTAAGACTTAATCATTTTAAATGTATTTGCATGTAAAATTTCACACGTAGCCTTGTGTTTTATTTTTTTCAAATGCCAGCGCTGGATTTATAGCCACTAGGCTACTAGTTATGCTATTTGTGTCTACAACAAATGCGTCCAAACATTATGGACCTACATTTTGTATAAGTACTAATGTTGTAAATGTATTTTTCATGTATATATGCTTTATGACGTTATTTTAGATTTGATCAAGAACGTAAACTAATGCCAACGCTGTTTGAGTATAACATTAGTAGCCAGTCAGTTGCTATTGTGGCCAGTCAGATGCTATTGTGTAAAACAAACGTGTATAAAGTTAAAAAATGTAGCAAATTATCATTCAGAAACGTTTAGTAAGAGCCGTGTGTGTTGAGGTTCTGTTTGCCTCTCTTCATCGCGGCTTTCTCGGTCTGATTCTGCCTCAACTGATACTGCAGTATCAACACCATTGTTTACATCTGGACTGGAGCGCAGGCAACGTTTCGCCCCGTAAAGGTAATGAGCGGTAACCTTCCGACCGACAGTTTAGCCAATCACCACACACCGGCCCAAACTAACCAATCTGAGCCCACTGCCTGTTTCTGAGGGAGTGGTTTCATAGACTCAGGAAGTCGACCGGTCGTTCGAGGACAACAGCGCGGCTGACAATAAAGGTGAAGTTTATGAAAAATAAGACTTTTTAAAAAAGAAAAACCACAAACACATGTTATATTGCACCATAAACAGAATCATGCAAAGAAAAAAGCAGTAGCCCCCCCCCCCCCCCCCTTTAATGTTTGACTATACCTTTAACTCTAATGAAAATAAAGTCAAAGTCTGTTAGAATAATCAAATATAACAATTCACTATGTCAGGTATCATTACAATTCCATAATCAATTGAAAGATAATCAATGCAAACCATCAGATGTTTCTAGAACAAAGAAGAACATATTTTACCTGACCTGTGGCTACGTGAGGAGTCGCGATACACTCCCTCACGGGCTCTTCTGAATACAGACAACAGCCCTGAAATCTCATTGCATTTTCCTTATATAACAAGACCTCATTTGATATGTAAAACATCAGTTTACAGTGGAAAGTTACTGTTCACCCCCCCCCCCCCAGACTTACTGGGGCAGACCATTTGCAAGAGACAGTGGAAATTAGCATTCAGACAAGCTCAGAAGGTGTTAACTCAAAGGCACACCCTTCTGTGTGAAAGGTATTTCTATATTCTTAGGTATTTCTGTATCCGCGTGTATGCGTAAATGTCTACTCCATTAATGTCCACGTCATTCCGCGTGTCTGAACACGCAGTCAAATCTCCAGTCATAAATGCCATTAACCCCAGTGACGGTTAAGTTTAGGGATGGGGTTGAGGTAAGTCATATCTTTTTTTTTACCTAGGATGGTAAGGGAACAGTCATAAATGCCTTTAACCCCAGTGACGGTTAGGTTTAGGGACGGGGTTGAGGTAAGTCATATATTTATATAACGTTAAGTCAACGGCGTTCATAAACACGCTGAAAGGCGATTATGCGTCTTGATAGCACGCCAAAAATGGAAATATGAATTGGCGTGTCATACACACGCTACTTCACGAGATCAGTCTGCACCCAGAGACCTTTAAAATGATACTAAACAATCCTTAAAGATGATCACATTTACATTAAAATCATTAAAATTCTTGTGTGAGTTATCTCAAGAGTGGGTGTGTGTGTGTTCACATGTTAAGCCAAGTTCACACTACAGGATTTTAAGCCAGATTTGCAAATCGTTGAGCTTGCCGACGGGTCAGGGTGTTATCGCATGCAAATCGCGGGGGATTAGCGGACAATGAACGCCTGCCAATCTGTTAGAAAGAGCCAACAACGCAGCGAAAACGCTCGCAGACGCCTCGCTGAGCCCAGAAAAATATCTAGCCTGCTAGATATCCAGAGCCGTCGTGCGACTCGACCTCAGTAATGTCATGAGTACAGCCAATCAACGCATGGGTTGAGGACACCAGGTAAATCTTACTTTTTCTTTTCTTTTTTGCATTTTTTTTTCTCAGAGCAGATCGTCGCACAAACAGTGTGCAGCACTAGTTTCTGTCTGACGTCCATATTCGCGTGTTGTGTTCTTCTCTGCAGTTTCGCATCATTTCTGGTTCGTTTTATTGCATGGTATTTCGTGACAAAACGTGGTTTGTAGACAAGATAGAATCGTTGAGTGACAGAGTTGTTGTCAACTCGTTATTTATTTGATTATTTTCAGGATTTAGACCGTACCATAGTAATGAAACAGCTCTCATTGAGTCACAAATGATTTGCTCTTATCATCCGATCGTGGTTGTATCTCTATGTAGTGCGTTGTCAACTACCTCCTGTTGTGGATCAATCACGTTGTTTTGTGTGGTGTGAACAGCTAAACAACTTGAACACTCCTGATTTCACTGAGAGCAAGTCATGTAGTGTGAACCGCACAGTTCAGCCCGACGTTTTAAAATCATGTAGTGTGAACAAGGCTTTAATTTGCAAGTAAGGTCTTTTGTCTTCAGAGGGCACTGGTCAGATTGATTCCATCAACCAGTTCCAGTTTTCCAGTCTTACATACTCATCAAGACTTTGACTTCTAAAGCCCTTTTGCTTTAAAACAAGCTAAGAACCAGCATGTGCAGTCAGTCACCATCAAGATAATCAAGAAGATTGATTGAAAGATTGAATTAATTATTCCCTTCACATGTACAATAAAACATTGATTACTAGTTCAATGACTTGTATCATGTGTCCACACTAAAGAAAATAAAACATGTTTAAAAGGAAGAAAACTGTTTTAAAAATGTGTCAAGTTCTTAGTGTCCTGCCACCCAGAGTACCTATGATAGCCAGCAGTGTGCACTCCTCGGCCCTGTCCCAATATCTGCACTTGCGCCCTTGTGCCCCACCAAGGCGCTTGCTGGCGCTTGCGCAGACAGAAGCGCCCTCACCCTCAGAGTACTTGGACGTGACTGTGATTACAAGAGGTAAAAACGATATAAATACTGTTCGTTTTCTCACACAAACCACTCGTTTCGTGTCTTAGGCCATCAATGTGTACTAACATTTACGAGTCATTAAATCATGTTTAATTTGGACTTCTCTGTGCATGCTCTTTGAGGAGGACCCAGGGTGGACCCCATAAACCTCCATTATATGACTGACAGACAAGAACGGTTTGACCTAAAAATATCAAAATTGAAAATACTGTGGAAACAAAGAAACCTACATCTTGGATGGCCTTGAGGTAAGCAAAAACATATCAAAAATTAATTTCAAAGTGAACTATCCCTTTAAGACTGGAGTAATGATGCTGAAAATTCAGCCTTGCATCATAGGGATACACTAACACTATATTTTAAACTATATTCAAATAGAAATTTGTCTTTAAAAAAATTTGTCCTTAATTTAAAAAAAAAAAAAGATACGTTTTTTTTTCTGCTTGTAGAGGCTTAAGAAGTCATATATAGAGCTGAAATCAGTGCCCAGATAGCAAACTGACATTGAATCAACATAGAAACATGACATCGAAACAATGTTGATCTGACATTGTTTTGCTCATCGAATTAACGTTGAACCAACGTCAGACGCGTCATTCTTTCAAAACTAACGGAAAATCAACTTGAAATCAACGCGTTGTTTCAACGTTATGAAAGCAAACCAATTTTCTATTTTCATTTAGCTTTGAAGAATGCCGTGTCTGACGTTGGTTCAACGTTAATTCGATGAGCAAAATCAATGTTGTTTCAATGTCATGAGAGACGTCGTTTCCACGTTGATTAATGTCAGTTTGCTGTCTGGGTGTGGTTTAATGCACTGATCTTGCTTTGAATCTCATAAGTGTCTCAAAGAAATACGTATAGGAGTCCTGACGCATTGATAATTGTCACAGTGGTGTTTGGTTTAGTTTGTTTTCATTTGGACTGTTTCATTGTCTGCCAGTCATCACGGGTCATGAGTCATCTTCACTGTCATTATCAGTTCAGCTGTATCACCTGTGTTTGGTCAATCATCGTTATCTCTGTCACCTGTGTTTCATTAATCATCGTCTGCATTTAAGTTCCATTTATTCAGTCAATCTTTGTCCAATCTCTTGTAAATAATGTGTGTTGCTGTTGGTTCTGCTGTCCTGTATTCAATCATCATTACACCTTTGTGTTGAAAAGATACCTTCATCTTCTGTCTTCCAGCAACCACCTGTGACAATAGTATGATAGTCAGACAATTTTTAAACCAATTAAAGCAGTCATAATTTTTTTATTGCTAAAATGAATCTTTCAGTGAATAATAATTGAATTCAGAGGTGTTCCTTTGAAAGATTACAGCAGTTGGCATTAAAGAGCCATATACAGTTCTTTAATCAGCTCCATTCCTGTTATAGACAGACGCTGCTTAAAAAGCCTGGTGTTCCTAAAAAAATTCAATATTAATTAATAAAAAAAAAATTAAACTGATACCAACAAAAATGCAGCTTTAATGTAGGGTTTACTTGGCAATTTACTCTGGCTTCACATTTAAAGTCAGGCACAACTATGCATAATGATTGACAGACTGAAAATCTTTCATAGAGGGAACTATCTGTAACATTTTGATTGCAGAACGTTCTGCCTGGAAATTTCTGAATCCATTAACAGTCCTAAGGCAAGTGCCCGGGGAACACATAATAGTGATCGGCCGGGCTGGGGTCGACAGTCCAGGATGACCATATAAGGGAGTGTGACACCTCATATTGCATAAAATGAGTACTTAACACAATATAACAGTCAGCGTGGACAAAAGTCGGGCTGAGCTGTATAGAAACGACTTAATCAGTTCAGAAGACAACAGTGGTCTAAACTGAAAATAGTTTAGCCTGTAAGGCAGGAACCTCCAGGTTGTAAAACCTAATAAATGTAGACGGAGAGGCCCAGCCTACTGCTCTACAAATATCTTGGAGTGAAACACCACTAGTCCAGGACCACGAAGAGGCCAGGCTTCTGATAAAATGGGCTCTAATGCCTAAAGGGCAATGAAGGCCTTTAGACTTATAAGCCAAAGCAATAGCATCAACAATTTATCTGGAAATGATTTTTTTTCGAGGTAGCTACACCTTTAGCGTCGCCACTGAACGAAGCTCTGTTCTGATTGCCTCAAGGCAGCTGTCCACTGAACATAAATCCGCAACGCCCTAACTGGACAAAGGAGATTAACATTGCTCTCTCCATCATTTACCGGAAGGGCTGACAGAGAAATGATTTGTGCTCTGAACGGGGTAAAGAGCACTTTGGGAACATATCCGTGTCTTGGTTTGCGTATGACGTTAGAGTCATTAGGCCCAAATTCCATGCACGGCGTGCTCTTCATACGGGGGTCACTCTTCATAGCCTCTAGGACCGTGGAAAGGTCCCAGGCGCAATTTTGCTTTTCTACTTTTTCAACTTTAGTTAGTATGTAATGTTTCTAGTGCATAAAAAAGATGTGCAAGTTTACAAAGCTCAAAGACCGCTCCAAAGGGAGATATTTTATTTAACAGAATCCACTTCTCGAAAACTACAACGAAAGGCTCGTTTGGACTACAACACGATTTTTCCGGATCTTATGAAGTCATAATGTTACTCATTTAAATAATCCCCCCTACGGAATATGCAAAAAAAAGGGGATGAGGTACTCTGCATTGAAGAAGAGTGTTGCTGATATGTCAAAGAAATACCTTTTTCCGCACCCCGTTTCCAAAACTTATTTGTTTGACCTTCCTAAGGCTAGAGTGGTTAAAATAAATTTTAACACTGTTCTTGAACGTTATAACCCCAATGTTTATCTGTTCGCTGCACATTTTATGGAGAACAGCTTTTTTCTTTTTCTTTTGTAAGCTTTCGCTTTTGTAAGCTGGTTCACCGGTCCTTAGGAAAATTAACCATGCTTTTTTTACTGATTACCATTTGTATTACCTTAGTTTTCGAACAAATATCACAAACACTGTATCTATAATGTATAAGAAACTTACAAAAAACATACCTCTCAAATGTCCTGTGAAATCCGTGCTTGCAAAGCCTGTGCATTTAATCCGTTATGCACAATCCTCTTGTTCGTTAACATTGTCAGGGTCTGAATCAAATTGGTTTTAAATTGACGCAATCTTCAATATTTCCTCTAGAGAACAACTCGCAGTTATGGAGGAATGGAATAATTCCTGAACACACGCTACACAGTGCCAATTCACAACTCACTAGGCCAGCCAACCAATCACATCACATTTCTTATTTTGGAAGGAGGGGTTTCATCTAAATAATGCGTTTTTTGAACAATCAAGCGTGAAAAAACATTTTAGTACACCCAAAAACTAAATCAAAACTTTCTAAAAGGGCATAATAGGACCCCTTTAAAATTTCAGAATTAGTCTAATACAGTAGTATAGTGCAGTGGAGTAGTATAGTATAGTGGAGAAGCAGAATTGTTGAGGAACTACAGGAAGGTCAGTATCTCTGGTACCTGCTGTGTTGGAGGTTACTGGGCGGGCAGCTCCATCACACTTGGTCTCGCAGAGGAAATCATCGATGGAAGGGCTCAGCAAGGGACGGCTCTCTTGTTGCTCGCTCACCAGCTGAAAAAATCAAGCAAAAAATTAATGCGATTAGATCTACATTAATGCACTTAGCCTCCTGTTCTCCTATTGCTTGAGTTGCAGCCAGCCTCCATTGTGCCATGACCATCTCTTCATGTGATAGGTAACGCTGGTACAGCTCCTGCCTGCAGTATATTTACAGGACTGAGACGACAATTCTCACCTTGCCCCCCACTGACAAACGTTCATGGGGATATTTCTCTCTCCCTTTATCACTTAAATAGAGAGAAAGCTGACTAGTAAAATCACAAATAGTAGAGTCATGCTTGTTTTTCTAGAGGTCCAAGTAATTGTGGATGAATGTAATCATGACAAGGTGTGAGACTTTTGTTATAAAGCTCCCATCAGTGTACTATGTGTGCTATGTGTGTATATGTTCCCTTGAGAGACTGGCAAAGAGGTGGTCTTGTGTCTAACAGAATGGAAAAAAACACATCAATCATCATCTGGTTGTTCTCATAGTGTTCATTCAACCATGCCACAGTTGCATCGGAGGAGAGCACTTTTGTGGGCAGTGCATGACTATAGCATATCTGTATTTTCTTTTAAGGCTTAACTACTGCTCGTTTGAAAATACAATCCTTTAGTCATTAAAAAGACATGCATTTGCAACATTAAAGATGTTCCTAATGCTTAATCTGCGTGCTCAATGTGGATAAATTAATTATTTTCTTACTACATAGATAGCACATGGTAATTTTTATTTTTTATTTTTTTTTGGTTATTTGTGTGTCTATAGGTTTGCATCAGAGGCATTCCATGACTCCATTTAGCAAGGCATTCCAAGGCATTTCAAGTAAAAATTTACTGATAAATCCTCTAAAAAGGATATTAGGCCCGATAAACAGGCTAGTCTATTAAAGGGATACTTCACCTCTGGAAAGATGAATGTATATTTAAAATGGGTCATGTAGAAGAAATGTGAAACTATTTTTGAATTTGGAGCTTTCTAGACTGAGAAATTTTAGGCTTATGTGGATGAAAGACAACAAGTCCCAGAATGCACCTGCCCTGGGAGGCCATGCCTACCGGTAACAGAGCGCAGTAGTTAAACAACAAGTCTAGGCTACTAATGAATCTCTGTGATCGCCCAAAATGTCCAGGTTTCAGCTTTTGCGTTCTGCAGTCACCATTCATTATGTTTACTGTGGCGAGCAGGACAAGTGAGGGCCGTGGGAGAACAGCGCGAGGCCGATGGCGTGATTACGATGAGCGACACTTATTAGACGCATCTCGTATCTCTCACGGAGGAGCGAGAATTTTCTTAGCAATGTTAAAACGCACATCAACCGATGACTTGTTTAGCGTTTATGTGAACAAAAGGTGTGCATGTAAACAATGAATGGCGACTGCAGAAAGTAAAAGCTGAATCCAGGACATTTTGTACGATCTTGATGGCCGGACATGTCCAGGAAAAAGAGGATGGCGACCCCTGCTACTCAGCTTTCTCCTATTAAGTTACTCAGCTTTCTCACAGAACAAGAGCCTGGTAGCTCAGCTTCCAAAAAAGATGGCTGACACTGTTCATTCTGTGATCCCACCCTCTATGGGTGGGTTGAGAACATGTGGGACAGCCCCAACTACTGACTGTAGTCTTTAGCCTCTGGCCAAAAAATCCTCAGATGACGCAAAATGACGATTTCCAGACAAAAAATACATAATTTTTTCTTCTCAGGAGAATATGAGGGTGCAAAGCATTGTAATTTTAAAATACTAAAGGTTTCCTACTAATACAAAGCTTAATGCTAAATCCTGAAGTATCCTTTTAATCACATTTTCTCATCTCCATTGTTTACATGATTTAAGACACAAAACTGATCACACCAGCTGAGGCAAACATTTATTTTCATATATGTCTTCACCCCCTTGGACTCTTTTTTTGTTGTTGTGGAGATTGCTTATGTGACACTTGCTAATGTCTGAATAAGTAGCTATTCAAATTTGTTGTGTAGGCATATATTATTTAGCTTGGTTCAAATTTAAGAAAGTGGATACCACTCTCCCAGTGGGTACCGCCGACCGAGGGGCCAGCGGCGGAACAGAAACACTAGGAAAAGGAGGGGTGCAGAGGCACCATACCAAAGAGCAGCCACCACGTCCTCTGGGTCGCCTGTTTTTATTATAAGAATATCCTGTAGTTAGTTTCAGAACTGTAAACGTCCTTGTTAGTCCAATAAAAGCTTTTATTGACACCAGGCTCAGCAAACGACTCGTTTTTCAAAGTGGGGAACTATGACGACAAAGAGGATAAAACACCACCAAGAGTAGTGTAGCTTACAGTTAAAAATAGATACAGATAACAGATAATAAATTGAACTGATGAAAGCATCTGTAGCCCAGTTGCATTAATGCTCAACTATATTCAAGAGAATGTAAATATGCTTCTCTAAAAGTCACATGAATTGAAAGCTTTGATGTTGTTTTTTGGAAATAAATGACCTGGGGTGAGAATCCCCTTAGGCACCCCTAGAAAAATAAGAAACTTTTTTTTTTAATTATTGAGAAGCCTGTGCCCCAGTATGGATGAAGATCAGAACAACCCTGCTATGCATGTTGCTGACATGTTTCCTGCAAATAGAGCAAGAATAGGGCTGTTTCGTCAAAACGCTGCTGGTTGTAAAACAGCATACTTCATGTCACATTCACATGTCTGTATAATGGACATATTGCAGGTTAGACGACCCAATGAGTCAACGTATAGAAAAATAATGTAGGCAGGCCCGAGGCATAAGCAAACTGCTATTGGGGCCTCCCAATCGTGTCAAAAATGTAAAAATATTGTTTAGATGACTTAAAGTGACATACATGAATGAATTAATATGAATGAATGAATAATTAAAGACAATAAAATTCTGATTTCTTGATCAATATACCTCCCTACAACTGCTGCTGTGTCTGATCTTTGTCTAGATGACGTTCAACCTAGAAACCTTAGCAAAACATTTTGTCTAGATTTGTCTAGTCTAGATTTTTATTTATACCTGAAATATGCTCTTTAATAATAACAACAGATGCTTCAAGCAAACCTGCCTAAATTATAGACTGTGGCATGTTTATAATTTAAAGCAAATTGAAAAGAACTATAAATTGAAAACTCTGACCTTATCAAGACTGGCTTAATTTAATTAAAGGTTCCTTGGGATAAAAGTTTTAATAAAGGTTTTATTTATTTATTTATTTATTTTTTATCTGTCCAGCCTTATATAAGACCATAAAGACAAAAAGTCCAGCAGGAATTAATTTAGACATGGACAAAAAAACAATTGAATTAATAATAATGTAAAAGATGATTTATACTTATCTGAGCAAAAACGTTCGGTGCATAGCCATTTTTTTGGTGTGCATATTCAAACTAGTGACTGTACGAGGGTTTGTGATCTCTACATAGAAGCTTTGAAATAAAATACTGAATATTCATGAATAACATGAGCAGTGTACGTTGGCCAGAGCGCTTGGGAGAACATTCCTGTTGTGAGAGTCTGTGTCAGAACGCTGACCCAGCAGTTTTAATTGGGTTGGACAGACAACTCTGGCTCTCCTGGTGTCAGGGAGGAGATTTATTCCTTCGCTGGCTGGAATGCCTGATGTTACCCAAACAGAACTCCTGCTGTTACAACACCTTGTACATTTTTTATGAAAGGGAATAAAATGATGGCACTCTGTCTTCTGTTGTCTTTGCCTTCTTTCGCATGCAGAAAGTTCAGTTTGCTGATCAGCATTTGAACATTTTGAAGTGTCAGACTAGGTTATATAACAACATCTACTGTTTTGGAGCTTACTTTTATTCCTCCCCTCTAAGCCTTATTATAAAAGCATAACTTCCTCCCTTGTGAATTCCAGCAGAACAAGGGCCATAATGAGAGAGGGGGAGAATGGTTTTGGAAATATTTAAAGCTCTACAACTTCATTAGATAGATTACTATATTCTGTTTAAAACAGTTTTTCCCTTCAGGCACACATTGGTTGCTGACATAAATAGGAATTAGTGGACAAAACCTTTTCTTGTAATTGGAGCAGATAACTACAGTTACACTGCACAACTGTTTGACTACATAATTAACTTAGTCTGATTATTTCAATAGCAATCTGGCTGAAAGACGATTTGACGGGCAGTTCAGAAGGAAAATCTGGCGTTGGAGGTGCATTCTTTTTTTTTTTAAACAGAAACGGTGATGTCTTGAACACACTATTCTGATGACACAAGAGTTGCAACTATGGCAGCTGAGAAGGCTTTGTGAAGAATTTTCAGAGCTTTATGAAATCAGTATAAATATGGGTTTAATACTACAAAATATGCCCGATGTTACAGTCACTGCACTTTCCGCCTGGAACACATAAGAACCAATCGAGTGAAGGGATTTGTGGAAACTGAAATGGAAGCACACATCTAATTCAGACTAAAACAAATATTTAGCCTCACATACTGAATTTATTTTTAGTTTATACTATTTTAATACCCTATATTTTCTTTCTCATTTTAAGGAAAAGCACCTCAGTACCATTGTTTATTTCTATACCATATGCTATGTCATACACTTGCAATGAAGCTAAAAATATAAACAACTACATCATTATGTTGATATCCCATGTTTTTACAATAAAACTTAGGCTCAAAAATATCTTCTAATATCCTCAGTTGTTGCGTTTACCGAACTGCATCGAACACATTTGTAAATTACTTTCCTTCAACGTGCCGTTCTAGTTCAAAATGGTGCGCAACGTTTTGCTATGGTTTTGCTATGGAGATACGTTTTCTCTTGTTTGATGGGTGTGTCTCACAGACACCTTGACACTTGGTCAGGTGGAACTGGAGATTGAACCACCAACCTTCTGGTTTGTAGACAACCTACATGAACCACTGTGTACCTGCCACCCCAAATTTACAAATGTGTTCGATGCAGCTCGGCAACAACTGAGGATATTAGAAGACATGTTTGTTGTAAGTTTCAGGGCCGGCCCTGACCAATTTGCTCCCCTTG